GGATTGACCATCACTTTATAACGCCCCAGGGCTGAAAGGGCGAACGTGTTTGGTGGGACGGGGATTCGAACCCGCGACCCTCAAATTGCGAGTCAAGCGCACTAACCACGTGACCATACTGGACAAGCAGTAAGTTATACGGACTTACAATGTTGAAATCCGGGGTTCGATTCCCCACTGTGAACAGAGCGCAGATAACCCATTGTGTAGCTTTGGACTAAAACAACAACAATAGCTAAGACGAGACATATTTCTCAAGGCATTTGTTGGATTTTTTTATGTGATAAAATCTAGATTCTCAATATTCTATTCTTTAAGAATTCAAGTTGAGGTGCTCTGATAAAGTAATAAATAACACTTCGTTTCAATTCCTGGTTATTTCTGAATAACTCAGCGCCTATTGTAAAACCTAACGCTAATTCTGATTCCGAAAATATTTCTGTATAAAATATTTTTATCCACAAAACGCTCAACATCGAAACCAAATTGACTGGATTTTGTTGATTATGTCTGTCTGTGAGAGAGTTACATATTATTCTGGCTTAGCTATAAATCAATCATAAGTTACCAGCTTCAGGCGTCAGCTTGTTAAGCATCCCCTCTCTCCCTTCCTAAACGCAACTCTAAGTGCTCATCCGTTATTCTGAATTATTAATTAACATTAATGCTGCTTATGTATTCTTCATTAATGTCCAACAGACGAACAGTTTGAAACAACGTATTTTTTAATTCTTTCTTAGCGAGTTTGAAAATGATTTAAAAATTGCAACTAATACAGATTTAAACCAGTTTCCATCTAAAGTACGAAATATTTGTTTATTGTTAAGCACATAAAACTAGACATAAATCTGCCTTTGTGCCCACCACGGGGATCGAACCCAGATATTTTAGTGTTATAAGCCCGCAAACCTAGCGATTTTCACGTAGCACACACACACACATTCCACGACGATCTTTTAGACGTTACGTTGAACCACTCGAATTAGACTTCTGGGTTTGCTATAGACACTTGCAGATAGAAAGTTCACCTAAAAGCCAATCACGATCGAGCAGTTAAAACAATTAGTCGTACTAAGGTTTGTTGTTAGATTACTTACTATGGTGTTAATTTTGGACATTAGGTTTTATTATTACCAGTTAACTCTTGGTTGGAGTTTCCTCAGCACCCTCACTTTGCTGAAGATGGATTCCCACGTTCATGTATGTTAGATATTGATGCTATATACATATATAACGACGTATTGACTTTGGTGGCTTTTATAAGGATTTATAGCAATATGTGTTATTTTGGGTAATATTTTATGATAATAATAGTTTATTGTCAATTTGGAAGAACTCCGATTGTTCCATATGTTACTTTATCCAAAACCGATACTATCTAGACAAGTGAATAACAAGTTACTCTGGTCAAATGAAAAGATACGTCAAACATTTGAAGCTTATGATAACAATCCGTGAATATTCGATTGTGAAAATAATTAGTTATTTTTGGAGGTTTGAGGAAGGCTCTGTATATAAAATATCATTAAGTGATGCCACCGATTCTGACTCTGAACGTCTTTTTTTTTTATTTAAATCCACAATATCCAGTTCATAAATTAGATTCTCCAAAGTTCCAAGCTAGCTTATAGAGCGCCCCCCAGTGGCACAGTGGTATGTCTGCGTAGTTACATCGCTAGAAACCGGGTTTCGATACCCGTGGTGGGCAGAGCACAGATAGCCCATTGTGTAGCTTTATGCATAACTACAAACAAACAAACAAGCTTATAGAGCGAGGAACTGTCCCTACCTCTACCCACCTCCTCCATCTGATTTTGTTGTTGACGGTGGTAATGACACTAAGGAAGAACCCCAAAACACGTTCCAACTTGGTAGTGTGTTTTTTTTTTTTTGCCTGAAAAGGGTTGGTCGTTCTCTGACTGTTTCTCTTATATTGATCTTCTCAAGCTGTTAGTAAATAACCTTCATATCGTGACACTAACAAAGACAACGTCATTACAGTTTTTATTATTATTTACAAGAAACCTCCTTCTCCGGTGAATTCAATATATTTGTTTTAATGACATAATGGAATAATAAGAAAAGACGCGTATGGAACTTTCATGAATATTTAATGAGTTTCACATAGTTAGTTAAATTTGATTTGTATGATTTTATATTTTTGCACACAGTTAAATTTGATTGTTTTTAATATCGTGTCCTTCCACACAGTTAAATTTGATTTGTTTTAGTTTTATGTCCTTTCACTCAATTAACTTTGATTTTGTATTATTTTATACAGTTAAACTTGATTTGTTTGATTTTATATTATTTCACACAGTTAAATTTGATTTGTTTTAGTTTTATGTCCTTTCACTCAATCAACTTTGATTTTGTATTATTTTATACAGTTAAACTTGATTTGTTTTAGTTTTGTGTCCTTTCACTCAGTTAGTTATATTCTGTAACACACGACTATAAAAACAATAACAACGCAGGTTTATAATTAAGAAATTATACGATATCCTTGCATTTCTCTTTTCTTTTAACCATATATATGTAAATAATATCTCTTTCCTGTTTGTTGTTGTAAAACTGAACTAAACTTTAATCTGTGTATATAATGCTGCACTTAATGCTGTTGTTATAAGTTAAAATTTTAACCTATGATGAAGAAAAAAGGCAAAACAAAATATATATTTCAGATAGGTTTCTTTAAATGTTTTTGTTATTATATGAACTATCACAAAGTATATTTAGTTAACCTTCTGCACCATAAGACATTATCAGTCCTGAAATCCCTTTGTATGTATACTAATTTAGTCTACAGTGCTCTTAAATCTTAAGAAACTATGAGTCCTAATATATTTTTGGGTTGCCTTCACCACCCTTAGATCTTAAGAAACTGTGAGTCCTAAAATCCTTTTGGGTTGCCTTCAGTACCCTTAGAGCTTAAGAAACTATGAGTCCTAAAATCCCTTTGGGTTGCCTTCACCACCCTTAGATCTTAAGAAACTATGAGTCCTAAAATCCTTTTGTGTTGTCTTCAGTACCCTTAGAGCTTAAGAAACTATGAGTCCTAAAATCCTTTTGGGTTGCCTTCAGTACCCTTATATCTTAAGAAACTATGAGTCCTAAAATCCCTTTGGGTTGCCTTCACCACCCTTAGATCTTAAGAAACTATGAGTCCTAAAATCCTTTTGTGTTGTCTTCATCACCCTTAGAACTTAAGAAACTATGAGTCCTAAAATCCTTTTGTGTTGTCTTCACCACCCTTAGATCTTAAGAAACTATGAGTCCTAAAATCCTTTTGGGTTGCCTTCAGCACCCTTAGAGCTTAAGAAACTCTAAGCTCTAACATCCTTTGTGGGTTGTCTTCAGCACCCATAGCGTCCACTATTAGTTTGGGATAACAGTTTATGGCTACAATGGGGAATGACTAGAATGTGTTTGCAACGTTAATGTATGGAAATAAGAAGGCCGAGCAGGAACCACACGGAAGAACAAACTTTAATATGTAGTAAATTGATAAAATATTATTAATATAGAAAAGAAAATCGCCTATAATGGACTTTTTGTTTCTTACAGAAGTCCGTGACCATATTAGAAGTAGTGAACTAGAAGTTGTAAGCACTTCTGATATGGCGACTTTTTTACCTCATATCGATCAGAAGATTACCAATCAACAACCTCTTACACACATGGCCACTGCTTTTCCTGTTGTTGAACAGGATATAATCCTAAATGCTTCAGTCTGGAGGGACACTTTCCCAGGATCACCTTCTTCATTTGGAAGAGACAAGTATAGTGATGAAGATTTTCACCACCTTGTTGAAGAGAAAAGTAGCTTAAGTGATGCTGTTGTTGAACCAACACGTTTGCTTTCCGTTGAATCAGAACTGAATGATCGTGGCCAATGTGTTCAGAAGACAGCTCCATCTACCGGTGAAAATTGCCAAAAGTCAATTCCTGTCAACTTTAAAATTGGTTCGTATAAAAAGGAGAAGGAAGACATTTACACGATTAATACTGAGGAAGGGCCTGTTGAAGAGTTGGAGAATCAGGTCAGATTAAAATGCACAAATCCCTCTGAACTTGAATCATCACCTTTGACCTCCATGTTAAACCTTGTGTCACATCTAGCTGTCAATCGTAAAGACGAACTCTCACAGAAGAGCATGTATTATAGTGATTCAGAGCACCTGAGAAAAGTTCAACTTACACATGACATTAAAAGCAAAGCTTTGAATCTGAAGCTTTCAGACCAAAGCCATCAATTCCACGCTAAATATGGGCTCGTAAAGGAAGAGTTGGTTCTGAGGAAAGAGCAATTTGCACAAAATCAGAGTTTTATGAAAAATGGGGAGAACAACACAGTAATTTGTGTACCATTTGTGGATCAGAATTCGCTTAGGACTAAGAACTCAAAAAACAATGTAAGTAAGTCGTTGAATGTTAAATACCAAGACATTTCTAAACAAAAACACCAACAAGATGTTAGCATGGTTAAAACTAGACAAAGTTCGACCACAGAGGGGCATCAAAGATCAAAATCTCAGGTATCAGCAAATGTTACCATTAGCTCGTGGCAACAAAGAAGCCAACAAGATGATTCCAGCAAGTACAAGAGCCATGGTATGGAGAATTTAGTTCAACAGTACTCAAAGTGGGAGTTATCTGCCACAGAAATAAATCATGCTGCTACTAGCAACACTAGTGCCACGAATGTGTCAAACTGTTCCACAAAATACTCCGAGGAAAAGCCACAGATAGAGTTTCAAATCAATAGTCCGATATATCCAAGCTCAACAGCTTCAAAATCATTTCAAACAGGGAAATGGAAGCAGAATATTACTGGAAACCAAAACAACGTACTTGGTTATAGGGAATCTGAACGGGAACCAAAACTTACAAGAGTGAACATTACTACCGATAAATCAAGTGTAGCTCACTCTTACGTTCGTGCTCCTATACTAAAAAGTTTCTCAGAAAATACGGTGCAAAACCTATTAAATGAGTCACAGAAGAAGATTATCGACAGGGAGCAGAAGGAAGAGTTTATAAAGCCAAATACAGAAGCCGAATTCAATAACATATTCATAAAACACAGCCACGAAGAAGAAGAATCAAAGAATACCAGAACAGCTTTAAGTAGTGTGAAGATTAAACTCCTTACAAATTCTGAAAAAGAATTCAATGGTTTGATAAATGGCTACCACAACACTTCCAAAACTCCTCCTACTCCCTCTATCCAGTCGTCCTCCACTTCAGAGCAATACCTCACTTGTAAGAACAAGTGTAAAGAGGAGGAGAGAATCTAAGATGCTTGACATATTGATCCAAGAGATAAACTGATGATCGAACTCGGAATCTTTGGAGGAAGGACAGCCCTTTAGACGGTAAACTGGTCAGTTTATGTAGCGAAACTATAATAAAAGAATTGTGTTTGTATCCAAAACATAACTTCAAAATATGTATTAAAAGGTTTAATTTGTGTCCTTACTTCTAGCTGATTCTGAGTAGAGATAAAGGCACCTGCAAACTTCAAATAATCTTTGAAAAACGACACAGTAATTTAAGGGGATTAAAACACAAATTTTTATGTCTTTATTAGAGATGCACGAGTACCCGGACAGATATTCGGCCCCGGCCTGGTATTGGGCTACCCGGTAATACTCGGCTCCGGCTGAGTGTCGAAGTTAGGCAGCTAAGCCCTAAACTTTGCGGAAACTAACGCGGTACTGAAAGTTACAGTCAATAATTGGTTTAATTATAAAAAAAATGTGTTCAGCAACAAAAACTGACCGCCCGCTGAAAGTCGGGGATTCAGAGAACAATAGGGGTTAATAACAGGCATGGTTTGAGAAGTGGATTTCTGGAGAAGGTGGGGGGTTTTTTTTTTTAGAACTACAGGAGTTGGGATTTGAGAAGTTGGGGGCTAGGCATTGAAAGTTGAAGGTAAAACTTCAATGTTCTGTTGGTGATTATCCAGTTAAATGTAATAAACGTCAATTTTGTTTTTGTTTCCAATTTTTGTATATATATATATATATTGTGAGGGGCGAGGGGAGAACGCGGTCCCGGTAATCGGCCAAATTTGACTACTCGTGCATCCCTAGTCTTTATGATGTAACTGATGATTATATTCTTTCTCTCAGTAGAATCAAGAAACATACTTACCCAATTAATCCCCATTTAAAAATACTATATTAC